TGTGTGTGTGTGTGTGTGTGTGTGTGTGTGTGTGTGTGTGTGTGTGTGTGTGTGTGTCAGCTGATGGGGATCGAGATCGGAGCGGAGTACGGAGGCACGGGCTCCTCCTTCTTCTCCTCCATCCTGGTGATTGAGGAGCTGGCGAAGGTGGACCCGTCGGTGTCAGTGCTGTGCGACATTCAGAACACGCTCATAAACACGCTGCTGATGAACCTGGGGACGGAGGAGCAGAAGCAGCTCTATCTGCCGCGGCTGGCCAGCGATACGGTGAGACGCTCGCTCTGACGATCCGCTGATGCTCTGAAGTGTTTCTGTGACTGACGACGCTCGTTCTGTTCTTCAGGTCGGCAGCTTCTGTCTGTCGGAGTCAGAGTCGGGCAGCGACGCGTTCTCTCTCAAGACTAAAGCAGAGAAACACAAGGATTATTACATCATCAACGGCTCTAAGATGTGGATCAGTAACGCAGAACATGCAGGAGTGTTTCTGGTGATGGCAAATGCAGAGCCGGCCGCGGTTAGTATGTGTGGAGTCATTTCTGACACTGAATTAGGGTTCGTTCACACTATGAATGATAACTATACTGATAACTGTAACAGTAACTATATCGGCGTCTATATCAACGCACAGTAATGTTCTGCTCATTATGTGCTCTCACACACACATTATGCCGCAGTTTTGTCGCCTGTCACTTTAAAAGCTGGAGCTCTTTAAAGCAGGATAGATTCTGATTGGCTGTCAGTGTTTTTATTGTTCATCAGCTGTTTCAGTCTTATATCTGTTTTCTTAAGTGTATCTTTATGATGTCAAATCTTACATTGATAGAATGTTCAGTAATCAGACTGATTGCGATGAGTGACATTTGCATGCTAAACCGGGATCGTTCTTTTATTCAGTCTCGTCAGTCTGTCTTCACACTCACACACACACACACACACACACACACGCAAACAAACACACGCGCACACACACACACTCTCACACACACACACACACACACTCAC